CAAAAAAAAAAAAAAAAAAAAAAAAAAGATTATAAGAAAGACTAATAAAAATTTTTGAAAGGTTTCATGGCACATAGCTGCAAATGGGAAAAAAAGACAGTGTGTGATTGTAGGGTAAACATTAGATGTGTAGACTTCCTTATTTGTCTCCGTAATACCTCATCTTCTTACCGTTCTTAAGAGGGAATGTTTTACTGGTACTTAGGTTTTCTAAATTGTATTTGATACTGTCATTACCCAGGTTCTCATAAAAATCCAGGAAAACTGGGTAAGATCCCAGGATCAGGATGTCAGCAAATGCCAAAGTCTCCATCTCACAAAAGCCTTTGAATCCATGCATCGAAATAGGAGTAACGTCATCAAGGACCTACTGTTGATGCACAGGGAACTCTAATCAATATTCTGTAATAACCTATATAGGAAAAGAATCTGAAAAAGAATGGATATATGTTTATGTACAAATGAATCGCTTTGCTGTGCACCTGAAACTAACATAACATTGTAAATCAACTATACTCCAATATAAAATTTTAAAAATTAAATTAAAAAAAAATAGGGGTAACACCCCAGACCCAGAGCTTAGCTATAGGTTGGGCGGGTTAAATGAGAAGGCCTGTAATGATGGCATTTAGCTTGATGTCTGTCATATCATTGGCACTTAGCAAATGTTAGTTGAATTTGAACATGATTTTCCCACATGGGATGCAAATGGCTACGTGGGCTCTCGAGTCGGATGTGAGTTCTGCAACCTTGAACAAATCACATAACCCTCCCACCTGCCTACCTTTTTCACAGGGCAGATGTGAGAGTTCAACATTATTGATGCTCAAGAAAATGGTAGTTCCCTGCCTATCGTAGCTGCAGGGGAGGGATGTCATACTTTATTACTTTTCTGTTGTGCAAGGCTGAGGAGAGCTTTCAGGGAGTCTCAAAATCAAAGAGGACTACAAAAACCCCTTTCTTGTGTTGTAAGCACTGCTTGTTGTGCCCTGACCAGTTTCTCATGCCCTTTTATCAGCCCACCTGGAGCCCAGCAGAGGGAAGCAGAGCAGGGTCCCCTGGGGTGGGAGGGTGGGTGGCAGCAGGGAGGGTGTCAAGTCATTCATCCTTCATAGCCATAAGTGGTTAAGCACCTGGCCTGTGGTCACGTGCCAGCAATATCACCTTCAGTGTTCCGGGCGGGTTTACCTGGTGCTTCCCACCCCTCATGGGCTGTGGTGGCAGCTGAAAGCGTGGCCTGTCTGCCCAGAATAGACTGGGTGGTGTGATGCTGTTTTGGTTTGATTACCTAGGGCCCCTGCAGAATCATGTAGAGAGGGACACTTGTCAGCAAGTAGCAATGAAAACAAGAATGTTGGCCAAAATGTGCAGCTTACCCCATTACTGTGAGTTTTGACAACATATTAACTGAAAACCTAGATTAAGGCCAACAAGTTTTGCTCTGTTTAGTTTTTCTTGAGAACTAAAAATAGTAATTTACTAGTCTACTTGCCTGGTTCTGTGTGTGCCCCAGTGAGCACCCCTAATTAGGAAATCACTCTTGGCACCAACACTCATAGCCAAGCAAGGGAGCCTGATGGGCACATGGATTAGAAAAAGCCTTTTGGTTGCCTTTCCTCAAGAAGCTTGACGAACCTTTGCTTAGACCACAGGGATAGTCGAGCATCAGGAGAGATCTGAGAGGAGAGGGGGCAGGAGCTGGCTTAAGGGTTTGGGGCTGTAGACACAGGTAGAAGGAACCCGAGATCCTTTCTTCTTAGTGCACTTACCATGACTGTAATTTGAAAATGTGTTATTTCAGTAATTTTGGATGTCTTTCTACTGCAAGATTGGAAGCTCCTCAGAGGCAGGGCCAGCATGTCTTACATCTGTTTCCCCTCCTCAAGGCCTAGCACATGTAGCAGCTATTTGTTGGACAGGTATAGTTTTAAGTCTAACCTCTGCTCCTGCCTGGTACTTGTTTTTGCAAGCCACTTCTCTGTGTGTGTTTCCTCATCTGAAGAACACAAGTCAGATGGATCTTGTGTTTGCACCTCCCTCTGTCTCTGGACCCAGTTTGTTCATATAGTTGTATTGAAGCTGACTAGCGTCAGCCAAGTATGATGTCTAGAACTGTGATTAGTACTCCAGGGGTGGCTTCACTAGCATAGTTTATAAAGTGACTATCATTTCCAGAGCCTGGATACTCTATTTCCATTAACTAATTATTATTTATTATTTCAGACTTAAGAGTAATAATGTATACCCTGCTTTCTTGATGGGGTTTTTGTGAGGACCAAGTGAAATGATGTATATGAAATAACTTCAGAAACTATAATGCTTTGGGTAGCCAAACAGTGATTATTATTGCTAACCCAAAAGTATCCTCCTGAGAAGTAACTCAAGTTTGAAGGAAGGTACTAAAGACCAAGTATTGTAAAGTGTGTGTGACTAGCGTTATAAAGGAGAGGTCATTTCCCAAGTTAATTTTTCGTTAAACACACACACACACACATCTCCTTGGTCCTCTCTCTGCCACTTATCTAACGCAAGGCAGTTAGCATTTGGGTATTGGAAAAGCTATTGATCATTGAGCTATGAGTCATGGGTTTTAGTCCAGCCTCACCCCTGCCTCGCTGAGGTTATCATGGGCAAGTCATTGAAGTTCTCTGTCAAATGAGGATACCTGCTTTATGAAGGTAAAATAAGACTTGAATATTAAAAACAAGAATAAGATATTGGTAGCCCTGCAGACATAAGAAGTTGATCACATCCTCATATATTTTTCTTTCCAGATCCAACCCCTCCAGTTGCCTCGACTCCTCCCCATATGACATTGTCTCTACCCCCCGCCCTACCCTCTGCATATATTTCCATATATCTTGTATCCTTCTTAAAGGAAGCTCCCAATGCTGAACTCAGAATACTTTATGTTGCATTTTGTATTTGGACACTAAAATTAATACTAAGGTTGAGTACTATCAATTTGTACTATCTCAAACCTAAATATGTTATTTCCTATCTCTGGATCCAGAAGGTTTAAGCTGAGTTCTGAAGTTGAAAGTAACTTCTCATTTTTGTTTGTCTTCTAGCGACAGACATCACACCTCCAGTGCAATCCCTGTTCCAAAGAGACAAAGCTCCATATTTGGGGGTATAGATGTAGGCTTCTCTGGGGGGATGCCTTCACCAGACAAAGGACACCGGAAACGGGCCAGCTCAGAGAATGAGAGACTCCAGTACAAAACCCCTCCCCCCAGTTACAGCTCAGCATTAGCCCAGCCTGTGACCACCGTCCCCTCCACGGGAGAATCTGAGAGAAAGACAACATCTCTGTCTTCCTCCTTGGACACCTCCTTGGACTTCTCCAAAGAAAAGAAGAAAAAAGGGGTAGATCTGAGTGACAGCTTCCATGGAGGCCATGGGAGTGTGAACACTAGCCAGGAACAGGGACAAGCCCTCCCGGGGCCTCCAGCCACAGTCAACGGCACCCTCCTGCCCAGCGAGCAGGCCGGCTCCTCCAGCGCCCAGCTTCCAGGGGGGTTCCACCCGGTCTCCGAAGCCGAGCTCTGCTGTACCGTGGAGCAAGCAGAAGAGATCATCGGCATGGAAGCCACAGGCTTCACCTCAGGCGATCAGCTGGAAGCATTTAACTGCATCCCCGTGGACAGTGCCGTGGCAGTGGAGTGTGACGAACAAGTTCTGGGAGAATTTGAAGAGTTCTCCCGAAGGATCTATGCACTGAACGAAAATGTATCCAGCTTCCGCCGGCCACGCAGGAGTTCTGATAAGTGAAGCGAGCGGATAGACAGTAGGAGCAGGAGAGAGTCACTGCTTGAAATGAGGATAAAGCTGCACTGGTTACCCTTTTTAATAATTATGACACAAAATGAATATTAATGGAGGATATTCCTCAGAAAAATAGACTTCGTGAATCAAGGAGGGACTCAGGATCATTGTGTATCAGTGGGCCAAAGTTAGATTTTGCTTGCAAGATTTGCTTTTCAGGCCTGACAATTATTTTAAGGCAGAAGTCTAGCTCTAGTCACCTTATAGGCATTTGACTGCTTTTTTATTTACACTTCTGTGTTATTCTCAGAGGGAAGATGATAATATATAAATAATATAATGAATTTGTCTTTAGTTTCTTATAAGCATTTGCCCTCACCATAGTTTATGAAACTTTGGGAAAATTGAATATTCAGTAAAAGGTCTCCAACATCCACTGAAGGATCTTTGGCCATCCATTAAGTTGATGAGTAAGAGCACAATGGTCTCCTTATACCCAGGCCCACCTGCCCCTGCCCCTGCTCCCAGACTCCACAGTCAACCTAGCTGTCGCCCCGTCAGCACAGTAGATACCTTGTGCATCCTGACGACTGAGGACATCACATTTGCTCGTTCTTTAATGAAGTTGCCATTACCTTCCACCTCTTCCAGTCAGCCATACCCTTGATGCAGCCCTCAGATTATAGGAAAGACCTCACCTCTGGTGGATCCCAGGGGATCCTCAAGGACCCCTGAGGTTACTATAGTCAGATGGCATCCAGTTCCCTCTGGGGGCCAAAGTTATGTGGGCAGAGGCTGTTGTCAAAAGCTGGGTGTGCTTTCTGGCAACACACTCACCATATAGAAATCCCTATATGTAAACCCCATGTTAATTTATTAAATTTCAGTTGGAAAGGAAGGCATTGTATATGATACAATATGTGTAGAGTCAGGCTGTCCAGTGTGCAAACTGCAAGGCAGTTGAGGTAGTTAGATTAAGAGACTAGATGAGGCATAAAATACTATCGGTATGTGTGCAATTGCATAAATATTAAATTATGTTTTTGAAGTACATTTTCATTCCTGGAGCTCAGATATCATTTGCTATTGCTAGATACTTTATATACCCAAGGACATCGCCTCAGGGTTGCAAGCTCTTTAAGGAAATTTTATGCTTATATCCGTGTATCGTATAAAGAATAAAAATTGAGTTTACTTCACTCAACCTGATTTTTTTTTCCCCCAGCTTTGAAATTCCTCTTGAACCTACATCTCCATCTGTTACATCGTGACAGCACTAGCCTGAACAAAACCTGTGGCTGTATCTAAGCTAATGCCGTTGACTTCATTTGAGTTTACATATTGTGTATAGCAACACACCGTCACAGGTGTACTCTGCAGTAGCTCATTTGTCCTCCATAACAACTTAACTCATAGGTTTCATAATCATTTTCATATTTTGTCCAAGCATTCCTGGGCTTAATTATAAATATAGCTACACTGTTAAATGGAATAGTTCATGTTGTTATTTTTCATGTAAAGAACTCACAAAATCATTGTATGACAGACAGACCCAACCTGCAAGCAATTAAAAGCTTTAACTTGATCTGAAGAAATCCATCTTATTCCTCTAAAGAGGTGGAACTACTCCAAACCTGGAGCAGAAGCCATCTGTAGAGTCACGGCTTCTTTGCAGAGTACTGTCATTCATTTTGGAGTCAGTAAGGGTGGAGCTAGACGTGATCTTGGATGTACATCAGACTGGGCTGTGGGGTCCTCCAGTGAAGTAACATCTACCCCCGCCCCAAGCCCAAAAAAAAGGTTTTGAAGGACTATCTTAGTATTGAACAATGGAAGGTGAATCACATGTGACGTGTGATTCTTCAGATAGGGGAGAGACCTTTAAACTTAACGCGAAACTCAAAGATAAGGTGCATTCAATGCAGGTCCTCCAGCCCGGCTTCTGGCATCACCAAGCAGAGGGACCACGTACAGGAGCACCCATAGTTACAGTGTTCATCTCAGATTCCACACAGCCAGATAGAGCCAGCAGCTCCGGGGTTCCATCTGTGAATCTCCCATTTGTGGACTCCCTGATTCTGGGGTTCACAGCTTTTGACCCACACAGCATGGAACCCCACCATTGAATGTGATCTGGTAGGCCAGAACTGATCGATAGTTACCTACACATTTGCCTAATCCACACTGTGTCCAGTGATGTTGTGCCTCAAAACACCACTTAGGTTTCGGTTTATTTAGTTTAGGTTTTGAGTTTTCACTGAGTTTGTTTGATGTCTGCAGTTTCTGCCAAACTTGGGTAGATCCTACAGCATTATATTCTCCAGGAATAACTCTGACATTTCCCAAAGCTGCAGAATTCATTTTGCCTCTGTTTAAAGTGGCCAAGGCCAAATATGGGATGAGGTATTATCTCCTACTAATCTTTGTAATTTTTGCTTTGAGAATATAAGTTGAAATGAAAACTCAGTCCTATCCATTTCTGAACTGCTAAGAGCCCTTTCAGTTTTCATGTAGCTGAGACACTTTTACAGCCGGCAAATGTTATCAGATGAATATTTGCTTGTGTTTTCTCTCTCCACTTCCCCTTACCCACTTAAAAAATTCCAGAGATTTTTTCCCCCCCAGAATATTAGTTTTGGAAGATTGTATCCAGCTATATTTTTTTAGCAGTTCTAATAGTGCCCATTTATCCTGACCTAACCAGTTATTTAAATAATTTTTTAAACCACCACCAATAATAAATGGCATGTGAAACTGATCTGTTGGTAATTGGAAGAAAACTCAGCATCTGTATTTATAAAATAAAATTGATTAGTATTTATTTTGAGAGTAAAAGTGTATGTTACTTCCCTGCTACGTTTGAGTCCTGTCTTCTTCACTGTTTTGAATTTCATACTAAAGCTGAGTTAACTATGAAAACCTCATTCTTAAACAGTCAGCCAGCCATTCTGCATTTACTGAGCTAGCTCTCTCCCTCTTTGCAAGGGACTGGACTAAACAAGGCTATACAAAGATTAATAAGCCTTGACTTCGGCCACATTCTCCAGTTGTGGGGGGGAAGGGTGGCATAAGGATATTAACAATTAAGTATAATTCAGTGTGATAAATTCTATGATGGAGAAATGTATAGCCATGCTACAGAATTCAGAGAAAGCTATTCTGCCTCAAGGATCAGGAAAGGGTCGTGGAGGTAATACAGATGAAAGATGTATAAGATTTCACATTACAGATGGAGGGAACAGCATGGGCAAAGCCCAGAGGTAAGGCGGGGCCACATGCGTGTTTGCAAAATTGCAAGGAGTTTGCTGTACTTGGGCCCTGAGTGGATGTGAAGAAAGGTGAGAGGAGAAATTGAATTGCAGACCCATGGGGAAGGACTTAAAATGCCAGGGGAAGAGATTTGGATGCATGCAGTGGGCGACCGGTCGGTACCCTTTCCAGACTTTAAAGCAGAAGAGTAACTTGGTTAGATGCGAGTTATGACGAGCAGCCACGCTGAGGCCGGACTCTAGTGATACTCTTCTTAATCTTCTGTACTATTTTGTTTAGAAAAAAAAGTCTCTCTGAAAAAGAGGTTCATCCTTGTGTCCTTAATGGTTTCAGGGTAAATACTGAATAATGAACTGGGTTTTTACTGTGTGATACAAAGGGCAGCCAGCATCTATTCTTTAGAAGCTAGATTCCGAATGCCCCAATTCAGCCACTTTGAAGTTATGACCCTGCTCAAGTCATTAAACCCTTAATGACCCCTCATTTCTTAATCTGTAAAGAATTGGAGAGAACTCTGCCCTTGCCATTACGTTTGTATGGGGCCTACACCATCAATGTTGGTTCCCTTTTGTCCTGTGGCAGGCTGCTTGCTGCCTAGTGACAGAAAGGATGCCTGAGACTCGTTATCACCATTTCTTGTTCTAGCCCTTGGGCACGGCCACTTAACCCCTCTGAATCTGGCTCCTAATCTGTCACATAGGGATGATACCTCACACCGATCAGAATGGCCATCAAAAAGTCTACAAACAATAAATGCTGGAAAGTGTGGAGAAAAGGGAACCCTCCTACACTGTTGGTGGGAATGTAAATTGGTACAGCCATTATGGAGAACACTATAAAGGCTCCTTAAAAAACTAAAAATAGAACTACTGTATGGTCCAGCAATCCCACTCCTGGGCATATATCTGGAGAAAACCATAATTCGAAAAGATCCATGCACCCCGATATTCATAGCAGCACTATTTACAATAGCCAAGACATGGAAGCAACCTAAATGTCCATTGACAGATGAATAGATAAAGAAGATGTGGTACTTATATACAATGGAATATTACTCAGCCATAAAAAAAGAATGAAATAATGCCATATGTGGCAACATAGATGGAACTAGAGATTATCGTACTAAGTGAAGTAAGTCAAAGACAAATATCATGATATCGCTTACAGGTGGAATCTAAAAAATGATACAAATGAAGTTATTTACAAAACAGAGTCACAGATGCAGAAAACAAACTTATGGTTATGGAGGGAAAAGGGGGGGAGGGATAAATTGGGAGATTGGGATTGACATATACACACTACTATATATAAAATAGATAACTAACAAGGACCTACTGTATAGCATAGGGAACTCTACTCAATACTCTGTAGTGACCTATATAGGAAAAGAATCTAAAAAAGAGTAGATGTGTGTATGTATTTGTATAACTGATTCACTTTACTGTACAGCAGAAACTTAACAAACACAACATTGTAAATCAACTATACTCCAATAAATTTAAAAAAAAATTCAAAAGTAGGGGTGATACCCACATCTCTCCCCACCCCACCCCAACCCTGCCCTGGGGTCAGATAGAGTGTAAGAAGTGATGAGTATTTTTATGAAACACTTAATGATCTTTACAAAGCACCATGCACATTGGGAGGAGTTAGTCATTCAACAAGGATTTCTTGCATTGTATACATCAGGCTTTGAAACGAATGGAGGTCTTCATTCGGTACACACTGAGAATGTGTCAGGGCTGAAACTGCTCTTTTGAAAAACAGCTCTAAACAAATATAAAGTGTTTCGAGGTCTTTTGGTGGGTGGCATGGACAGTGTTGAGACATGGTCCATAAGCCTAATTAGCTTAATTTTTATGGTTTTTTTTTTTAACACCTGGCAGATGAGTTTATTTAGGCCACCTCATCCATACATATTCTCTCACACAGCTTCTGGCTGCCTTGCTGAATGCTGAACTAGTGCCCAGAGCTCTTAATTTTGCTCAAAATAGATAGAAGCCTTTTTTTCTTTTAATTTTTTTTCCTCTTGGCACATCTAACCATGGTTTTGTAGGTAGACAGCTCAGCCTTGTGGATTTTAAATGAATAAAAAAATACATGTCTATAAAATAATTCCACACTTTTTTAGAAACTGGCGATGTCAGCAATCCAGAAAAAGCATGGTCATGAATCTCGATAAAAATGAAAAAGACAGCCAGTTGGAGAAATAGCTATAGTCAGCCAAGCCCAAGCCCAGAACTACAAGGGGGAGAGTGGTAGGCTCAGATCCTTCTGGTTTTGTACAGAACACAAGTCTAATGAACTTCCTTTCTCTCAGTCCCCATTAAAGTACAAGCAGCAAATTAGAAAGGAATCAAGGTTGGGAGTAGACAGAAATAGTGGATAACCTGACTCAAAGAAGCAGATACAAACAGGCAGGAAGGAAGCAGTCTGGGCATGTTGAGTGAGAAGCCCTCGGCCCCGGAGAGCAGCCAGTCAGAGGGATTCAGATCCCAGCCCCACCGCTCACTGGCTGTGCGGCCCAGGCAAGGCGCTTGACTTCGAGCCCACATGCTCCTCTGAAAAGTGGTAAAGCCCCTTGCTCAGGTTTTCCCTTGCGCCTGGACAGAGACTCCTCTTGCCCTAGGAGCAAATTGGTATTCATTCTTCAAAACCCATCTCAGATCGCCTTGGGCTCCAGAGCATGGCAGGAAAGGAGAAGACCCCCACCTGTCACTCTCTACCTGTTTGTGAATAACTTGGGGCTAAATCATTTCACACAGCCTGCTTCTAGTCAGGGTTTTAATATGAAGCAAAACTACTACTACCCTGCCATCTACTCAATATCCTCGACGCAGTGGTTGTAAAATATATCACAAAAATTAACAAAACATCTAGCTTAAAATAACTCAGCTTAAATGATTTTACTGTTTCTAAATAGCCCTCA